AAATTTCCTTGAAAAGATTCAGGGCGCTATCGAGAGAATATTAAAAAGACGGAGATAGAGAGAGCGATTGAAAGATAAAGAGAATGAGAATGGCAGAAAGAGAGCGAGAGAAAGACAGGGAGAATGAGAATGACAGAAAGAGAGAGAGTATGGGAGTCACTAATAAGGCGAACCATATTCGTACGGCAGTTGTTAGTCCCGCATGTACGACCACGTGGCGTGTTCTAACAACAGGCGTACGGATATGGTACGCCTTCTTAGTGGCTCCCATAGAGAGAGAGAGAGACAATAAGAGACAGACAGAGAGAGAAAGAGAGAGAGAGAGAGAGAGAGAGAGACGAGAGAGAGAGAGAGAGAGAGAGAGACAGAGAGAGAGAGAGAGAGAGAGAGAGAGAGAGAGAGAGACAGACAGACAGACAGACAGACAGACAGACAGACAGAAAGAGAGAGAGAAAAAGGCAGAAAGAGAGAGCGAAAGAAAGAAAGAATGGGGCAGACAGAAAGAGAGAGAGAGAAAGACGGAAAGAGCGAGAGAAAGATAGAAGGAGAGACAGACAGAAAGAAAGAGATAGAAAGAGAAATACAGAGAGACAGAGCGAGAGAAAGAAAGACAGAAAGAGAGACAGAGAAACAGAAAGAGACAGACAGAGAAAGAGAGAGAAAGACAGAAAGAGAGAGAGAGAGAGATAGAAAGAGAAAGACAGAGAGAGCGAGAGAAAGAAAGACAGAAAGAGAGAGAGAGAGACAGAAAGAGAGAGAGAGACACAAGAGAGAGAGAGAGAGAGAAAGAGAGAGAGAGACAGAAAGTGGGAGAAAGACTGAAAGAGAGAGAGAGAAAAAAAAAGAGAGAATGAAACAGACCGAAAGAGAGAGAAAGACAGAAAGAGAGAGAGACACACACAGAAAGAGAAAGACAGAGAGAGAGCGAGAGAAAGAAAGAGAGAGAGAGAGAGAGAGAGAGAGAGAGAGAGAGAGAGAGAGAGAGAGAGAGAGAGGAGAGAGAAAGCGAGAGAAAGCGAGAGAAGAGAAAGAAAGACAGAAAGAGAGAGAGAGATACAGAAAGAGAGAGAGAGAAAGGCAGAAAGAGAGAGCGAAAGAAAGAAAGAATGGGACACACAGAAAGAGAGAGAGAGACAGAGAGCGAGAGAAAGATAGAAGGAGAGACAGACAGAAGAAGAGAGAGAAAGGCAGAGAGAGAGAAAGAAGAGACAGACAGAGGAGAGAAAGAGAGAGAGAGAGAGAGAGAGAGAGAGAGAGAGAGAGAGAGAGAGAGAGAGAGAGAGAGAGAGAGAGAGAGAGAGAGAGAGAGAGAGAGAGAGAGAGAGAGAGAGAGAAAGAGAGAAAGAGAAAGAGCGAGAAAGATAGAAGGAGAGACAGACTGGCAGAAAGAGAGAAAGGCAGAAAGAGAGAGCGAGAAAAAGAAAGAATGAGACAGACAGAAAGAAAAAGAGAGAAAGAGAAAGAAAGAGAGAATGAGAAAGAGAGAGAGAGAGATAAAGAGAGAGAGAGGCAGAAGGAGAGAGAAGACAGAAGAGAGAGAGAGCGAAGAGAGAGAGAGAGAGAGAGAGAGAGAGAGAGAGAGAGAGAGAGAGAGAGAGAGAGAGAGAGAGAGAGAGAGAGAGAGAGAGAGAGAGAGAGAGAGAGAGAGAGAGAGAGAGAGAGAGAGAGGACTAATCAGTGTCGGAAACTACGAGAAAAAATGTTTAACTTGTTTTTCTTGATTCCGTCATTTCTTCTTTTTCTTCTTCTATTTCTTATTCATTTCCAATTTTCTTCTTTTTCTTCTTCTATTTCTTATTCATTTCCAATTTTCTTCTTTTTCTGTTTCTTTTTTCTTCATTTTCCTTTTAATTTTCTTCTTTTTTCCTCCGTCGTCTCCTTCTTTTTCATGATAATGATAATGACACTCATGGTATAAAGTTATGATGATATTGGTGTTGATAGTAATGCTAATAATGAAAATGATAATGAAAGTAATGAGAAAAATGATGATGATGTTGATGATGTTGATGATGCTAATGATAAAGACAATAATAGTCATAGCGATAATAACAATAACAATAATGATCATAATGACAGCAATATCAAAACTAATGATAATAATGACAATAGTGATAAAGATAATGATAAAGGCAATAACAAAGACGATGATAATACTACCACTATTACTTCTACCCCCCCCCAACCACCACCACTCCCATGCTCGTTGACATCGTTGGGGGGGGGGGTGGGGGGGGGGGGCGAAGACTGAGACCCCATGGGTAGGATCAGCCATACCTTGGACCTGAGCCTCGCCTCGTCTGATTTCCAAGGTCTTTCCCTCTCCTCCTTTCCCTTTCCTGCTCTCCTTCAGCCCCTTCTGCTGCCCACCTCCTCGAGTCCCGGAGCCGCGCTGGAAGGATGAAGGGCTGGCTCTGTGGCAGCCCTTGAAGTCGATTTACTCGCCCTGCCCTCACCTCTTTACTCTCTTCGCTGCCATGTGACCGACAGCCTTTGGCATCTAACACATTTTGCCCTCAATTGTTAATAATTTTAAACCTTTTTGTCGCAGTAATCAGTTGCATTTTGTATACTCCGCTGATGACAGATGTTGACGCAGTGGAAAAACCTTCAACAGATAAATACTAATACAACCACGTGGCCACAAATGAATAAACTACGATAATAACGGAAATGATAGGAAGGGAAACCCACCAGAGGATATGCGAGAAAACATCACATACAACCTCTGACCGAATTATTGGCGCCAAAGAAAACGGAGACTGAACTCGTAATAAGACCTAGCGAGTTGATATGATAAAAAGAGTTTCATTGCCGTGCTATTCAGATGACGATAATAATAAGAGATTAAAAAGAGAAAATGAAAGAGTATCGTCCCTTAGAGAAATCGAGATTAGATAAAGTGTTTACGCCAAGAGGCAGATTCATTCGCTCATTTCCGGAGATATCTTGTCGGTGTCAAACAATTCCAAAGGTCGTGGTTAGAGACGCCTTTCTCGACCGCAGGGAGGTGTGTGTGCGTGTGTGTAAGTGTGTGTGTGTGTGTGAAATAAATAGATAGATACGTGTCTGTATGGATGGAAGTCACATAGAGATTATAATAGAAACTACTTCATATTCTCTAACAGATGCACAACGAATGATTACAGACGCGAGTTGATCAAAATATTCATGTTCACGAATCATTACAGTATCATATATATATATGTATATATATATATATATATATATATATTATATATATATATATATATATATATATATATATATATATATATATATGTATGTGATGTGTGTGTGTGTGTATGTATGTGTGTGTGTGTATATATATATATATATATATATATATATATATATATATATATATATATATATTATATATATACATATAATTGGGATGTTGAAATATCACATATTTGTGATAAATTTGTGATTACGAAGTTGTCAGGATGTTGGCTCATGTGGGGAGACAAAAAAGTGTTAATCATCATTTAATTGTTTTTTACTCTTTGTATCTTATCAGTCGAGTATTCTGAATATGTCCCTGACAGAATTTGCTTCTAGGGTATTTTACTTCATGGATGGTAATTTGATTTCAAAATGATGTGATATCATTTAATTTATAAACGTTACCATCACAGTTTTTTATATAAATTTCCAAAGCTTGATAGAGTCAATGGATGGGACACATGCCATTTGATCGTCTATTACATAGTGGAGGAGGCTGTCTAAAAACGAAAATTGTAAAGATCAAGCAGACTGATGCCAACTAGACAAAAAAATAAACCTATAGTAAATAGTAGGTTCTGAATAAATAAATAAAAAAGACTTTGCGCTCGTAGTCGCTCTTGTTTACATCCCGGAGCAGAAGCCAAAAGAGGGTCGAGAGACGGCTGAGAAAGTACACATATTTCTCAAGTTACTAAAGGTTGTCGCTTTCCTAATATGATCCGAAGACCTCGTGGGTATGATATAAAATCTATGCATTTGTGTTCCGAAATAATCCACGCTTGAGGACAACTCGCTCCTGTGTCTAATCTAATTTTTGCAACGAGTTCCAGTGTCTTAAGCAACGAGTCATGTTCCTGTAATATGGAGAATGTGTAAGTGTGAGAATGGCAGCGTGCGTGCGAATACAGACTGTTTAGTAGATATCTGTTATGATGCCAATCTATAAACAATTTGAAAACTTTTAACGCATCTAACTGATATATAATGGAGCTTTTGGGCCTAACCTAACGGATGTTTAGAGCTTTGGCCTGAAGTTCGGTTTTCATATTGCTTGTGGACTTGGATTGGTTATGAAAGTTTTATTGAAGTGTATGTAATCGCATTGTTATTCAATACGTCCACAAACATAAAAGTGTGCACCTTAGGTTTTGAGAGAATGAGTGATAAACTTCATAAAGGCCATAAGACATAAGAGTAGTCAAGACACACTCACACATGCACCCCCGCCCCCACAAAAAAAGCTTTCTTGACATTTTTATGACACATAATAATTAATAAGTCAATCATCAAAGAATTATGTTTTCCCCACAAAAAAAGCCTATTAAATGATAATAGATGCACTGATAAATTGTGAGCAACGAGATTATGTTGCTGGGAAAAGTTGTCTTATGATAAATATATATTTTCAGAACTAGACAGAGCCACGAGCAGTTGGGCTGGAAAGTTTCTTATGTGTAATGGGCAGTCCTGGCATGTTGTGGACTTTTTGTGGGCATCCTGGGCAGGTGTGTACATCTGGAAGCCTCTGCCTTGTGAAGTTTCAAGGCAGAACAGTCTGGGAGCTTCTTCAGGTGCCCACACCAGAGCTGCTGAGTGAAGCATTTTAGCAACTTTGGAGAGACTGTTATACTCTGGCTTTAGGACAGTGACAAGGCTGGAGCTTCAAAGCTATAAATTTGGGATATTTAATAGGTAAGTCCATAAGTGCTGAATCTGATAAATGGCATCAACACGCAGGTGCTGGAAAATATCCATCTTAACGTTCGCCTTCTCTTTTGCATCATCATTAAACCATTATTTTTGGGTAGTTTTCCTGTTCTATGTTTTAGCCGCGTAACACTTTAATTTAACTTTAATTTAATATGTCTTTTTATTGCCATTACATTGTAGTAGAGTCTGCATAAGTAACTGTTTAAAGATAAGTTGAATTTTAGAAACCAAAATGTACTCTGACACATCCACTTTTCCCATGGTTTGAAAATGTATTTTTTGTTCATTTAAAATTCTCATATATAATATTCTGCATTTGGTATTTACATATTTTTAGTTAGTAGTGGTATATGTTTTTGGATCAGAAGGTAGAATTTCTCATGAATTTATTATGAATCCCAGTGGCAGATGACCAAACAATTACTTCCAGCATGAATTAACCACTAATCTAGGAGTGTATGCAGACATGCTATTCGCACTGGTCATTGGTAGAAATCTAGATAAAGGATAAGAAGGAGAGTTAATATTTTTAGAGTACAAGAGATATATTTGGTGCTTTGTGATCATATCATCCTCAGGAATACATATTTCTGTTTGTGTCTACTGATGATGATGAGGATGATGAAAGTACTTGACCGTTTGTCTATAGATGCTATAGATAAAGATAGTAATGATGATCACGATGAACATAATAGTAACATGAAAATGTGCATGGCTATGGCATGATTGTGAACTTGAACAATATTAACAACAGCTGCAATGGTAAATTGGATGATGGTGATGATGGTGATGATGAATGAAGTGATGAGTAGAGTAATAAAGTAGTTTAGTAATAATAGTAGTATTAGTATATAATATATATATTATAGTAATAATGATGATTGGATGATTGAATATAATTATTATTATTGTTATAATGATTATGATAATGTTGTAGTGATGATGATGATAACAATAATAATGGTACTGTTAATGATAATGATAATAACAATGATAATACTGCTACTACCACAAATGATGATAAAAGTAATAGAATTAAGATTCAAAGTGAGGTCATGGAAGCTTAGTAATTAATAAAGATATATTAAACACTGCACATTCCAGTTGTCAGTTTGTTAAACATTTGTTGTATTTGTTGTAAACAATTGTTTACACTAGTACATGATAGGTTCTATTTTAGAGTAAATGTTTTATTTCATAAAGATATATATAGGCAAGAGAAGCTGCTTGTAATTAGTAGTTGGTACGCACAAACAGACTATAAAGCAGGCCGGTAGATGCCATAGACCATAAATCTAATATAACACCAAACTCGTGCATAGACAGTTAGTGTATTACAATGTAGACTGCGGCAGGTATACACTATGAGGTTGGTAGCTTTGAAGCTGTTTGTATGGGTGGATCTTTAGAGGGTCCCATTTGGTTGTGCTTCCAATGTTATAGAATAATACTCAGTGTATAGTAGTGATATATGTGCATAATTTAGAGCCCCAGGTAAGTATGGTAATGCTAAAACAGGTAATAAAATGTATATATGCATTTAAGTTTGTGTACATTTAGGTATATGTATATGATTACCTTTCCCTCTTACCGAAGGCATGAGAGCATAGGTTCCCACTTTGTTTCAATGTCATGTTTATGGCATTATGAAAATGCTACAGTTGCCTCCATTATGCATGGAAAATACTCTGAAGTGCTGAAACTGCCCCCTGACTTAGCGTCCACTTATCACACAATCCCCCTCCCCTCCCTCCTTCTTGCTTTGTGAGTTGTGTGCAAAGGCAATATTACGTGAAAGATAGGAAAGTGAAATTTGTGTTCTAACTTGATTGCTCATCTAAATGGCCAGTCTGTGCAGGGGACAAAGTTTTTAGAGTCACGATAAGTACGCTGAAAACAGTTGGTGCTCTTTGTGTCAGCATGGAGGACTACAAAACAAAAATCTCAATATCTGATCTTAATTTGAGACAATGATGCTTTTAATTTTTACTTTGCTTATATAGCCATATGATATCTGTTTTAAAGTAAAAGAAATCAGTTCAATTGCTGATTCATAATTGATCACAAATATAGTATTGAAGTATTGTTTGTTGGTAAATTCAGTCATCATTGTTTACTTTTCTGTGGAAATGCAATGAATCTTCTTTTATAATAGGAATATGTATTACATGCAGCATACTTTTGATTATAGCAACGTTTTTATAAATATGAATAATAGGTTGGATTTATTAGATTTATTCCTTTTGTTTATCTTTAATTACTGCCAAATCATTATTTTTTTCTATGTATATGAGTGTAAAATATGTCTGTAGTTATTACTCTTGATAATATACATTAGTCTTTATCCTCATTCATAATTATCAAAGTATCTGAGCATTAACTGGTTTGCATATGACCCAGAGGTGACATTATTTCCTATTATTTTTGTTGTTATTTATACGCATGTAACTATCTGTATTTATATATCCATTCATGTACCACTCATAAATACTCTCACTGTCACATTTATGTATATGTACAAAACGAATCAATACTTATTGTACAGGAAGCAATAAAGGACATAAAAGGAAGCATGAGTATCATACATGTAGATTGTCCATTCTCATTGCCATTAATTTTTTTCAGATACAAATGGTTCATCTCTCCGGTCTTGACGAGGAGGCAGCGGGATCGGCAAGAAGAATTGGCAGAGCAAGTGTATAGTTTTACAAGGAAAGATGTGGATGCACCTCCAGGGACTCAGAAGAGCTGAATGTAACCAAGATATTTTTTTAAGTGTATATAGACAGTTCTTCTGGTAATAAATATTTAATTAAAATGCTTGTTTTTGTTTCTAAAATTTGTTATTATAAGTAATTCAGTGATTGTATTTCTGCCTGTGGGAAAACCATTTTATGAATGTGATGTTGGTTTTTGTACATAGCTTTGATTACTTATTTAGATCATATTTATATAATTCAGAAGTAAAAAAAAAAGAAGTTATAATTCACTTATAAATATTATAATTTCATAGGAGATAGATAGCTTTAGTGCATTTCTGATGATCATTATGTGATATGAGAATAAGTAAATGAGACTGTTATTTTATATATATGGCATATTTTATTAAGCCTCTGTACAGAACACATTTTTGTGTATGAACATGTTGGCCCACAGAATAATCCCTTGGGTCACATAGCTTTGATTTCGTTCAAAGAAGCAATCACGAATTCAGTAAACATGTTGATATTAAGTAAGAGGGTGTTGATACATAGCAGGTTCAGTGCAGTATGACCAGATTTTTTCTCTCTATATATACTTTTTCAGTGAGATCATATAATGATTTTATCTGGGAATGTTGAATATTCATAGAATATCATTATATGTCATGTTTTAAGAATTTGCTTTTTAAATTTGTTTGACAAGCTGTTTTCCTTTTTTATTCAATTTTGGAGTATTCTGAAAACTGATGTTAAGAATGTTAGCTGATCATTCTGTTGGAAGATTTGAATGAATAATTTTATAAATTGATAACTGAATTTACATGTGGGACTCATGTTGAAGAAATTGCAAGTAGAACAAAAAAGGAAGAACATGTTTATATGTTATCTTGTTCTTTGTTGTTTTGTTTGCAGTCATTGAATTTATACAACCTATAACCTTCTAAAATCAGATCACCATCAATACAATGTATTTGCCAAAAAATTTACGTATGAAATTCAAGTGATCTGGAAGGATACATATCATTACTTGTTTACCTGCATGTACACCTTCCTTTATGACATGGATTTTTAGCCGTGTTTCTTAAAGCATGGTATTGAGGGGGTGGATGCCTGGAAATAATGTTCGTAACTAGAGTTTGCTGGGTGTGAATAGGGTGTTTAACCTTGAAGACTTAGTGGTAGCCTGCAAGTTTCAGTATGATTTCTGCTGTTGAGAAGTGAAGACAGGACTTTATAAAATATTTTCATTATTTTTATTCTATTTTCACTTCACTGGAGCTACTTGCTTTCTTTGTCTTTTAAACCTTTATTTACGATAACCCTTCTAGGCTACAATTAAAGAGATATAGAAATATTCCCCAGACTTGACCATTTTTCCAGTTAGAAATGAAATCTGTCACTAAAGCATTTTATGCATCTTACTATGGTGTGAGAGAGAGAGAGAGAGAGAGAGAGAGAGAGAGAGAGAGAGAGAGAGAGAGAGAGAGAGAGAGAGAGGGTGGGGGGGGGAGTAAGCAAGAAAGAGAATGAGAGAGAGCCAAGGTCATCCGGCCTGATGCTGCCTCAACGCATGAAAACCCTTGAGATATGATCTGTAGTTGCATCCGGTAGCTCAGCATGGCCAAGAGAGTTCAGTACATCTTCATAATGCAATGCCTTTACTCATTACTTATCACGTTTTATTCGCAAAGGATATTTGTGTTAATTATGCCGACAGCAAAGAATAACGAACTGAGTGGTAGTTTCGGTGTAAATGAATGAAGGAGAATGCCTTGGCTTTCATGAATATTGTAAAATCATTTTGTACCAAGTTCAACATAGTAAAATGGTAGCTAGCGTGACTAAAGTATATAAAAAGGAAGTTGTATGAAAAATAAGTTGAGGAAAATACAAAATATGTGCCAGCGAAATGAAAGTATGTGGGTTGATATGAAACAAATATAAAATATGAGTTAGCTGGATAAAATCAACAAGTACATAAAACATAATTTTAGAAGACCTGTATCTAGACCAAAAAGGATCTAACCCTGGGTTGTGCAGGTGATGGCCCTGGTATTTAGATTCCACATCTCTCTACCAAGAGTTAGCTCCTCGCATGGTAAAGGGGATCGAAGAGGAAACATGTCGATCCTAGAGCTTAAAATAATAAAAGGAAAGAATGAAAAAAGAGAAAGAAAAAAACGAAAAAAGTTCTACATCTACACACACACCACACACACACACACACACACACACACACACACACACACACACACACACACACACACACACACACACACACACACACATACATACATACATACATACATACATACATATATATATATATATATATATATATATATATATATAATATATATATATATATATATATATATATATATATATATATATATATATATATATATATATATATATATATATATATATATGAGAGAGAGGGGAGAGAGGATGAGAGATAGAGAAATCAACAAATAATGTGAAATATGGAAGACTAGAATATATTTGTGCTAAGAGAAAAGTGTGACCGAAAGTGAAATCTATCGTAAAACGATAATCTTATATGAGCTTGCACACACTCTGCAGATTAAGACCTCAATGGCTACCGACAGGCCGTCCAGGTAACACTCCGCCAAATTACCTGGCAACGCGAAAGATTGAACTCTGAATACCTGTAATTTATTCTCCCTTTCGTCACACCAAACTGCGTGATAATCGACTTTTTTTTTCTCTCAAATTGACTTCTCTCTCTCCTTCAACAATAATGCTCTTTCAACTTTTTCTCTCTCACTAAAAAAGAAGTTCCTTATCATCTATCGCAAGGTTTATGAATAAGGCGAATATGAACCACATTTCCTTCAGAAAATGGTACTTATGACACGAACTAGACGCGGAAGATTCTACTTGAGTTCCCCCTCGTGGAATTCTGGCCGAGGTGCCATATTTTCACGGAAGGATGATATATATATATATATATATATATATATATATATATATATATATATATATATATATATATATATATATATATATATATATATATATATATATATATATATATATATATATATATATATATATATATATTTTATGAATATATACTGTATATATGTATGTATGTGTGTGCATATATGCATATATATACACATATATAAATATATATATATATATAAATATATATATATATATTATATATGTATATATATATATATATATATATATATATATATATATATATATATATATATATATATAATATAAATACATATATTAAAGGCTTCATGAATAAACCTGTGACAAAATTCAATTTTTTTTTCCTTAATAACATTCGAGATTAACGTTCAAGGTTTCTATGTAAATGTATATCTATCTAAATGTATCATATGTGTGTGTGCGCGTGCGTATATGCTTGCTTGCGAGTTTATTCACAGACGTGTACAGAAAGAAAGAAAGAAAGAAAAAAAAAAGAAAACAATCAAAAACCTTCGAACTTCTTCGGCGCCAAAGCACAGCCCGACTTCCTCCCGTCAGCAAGGCCGGGTGTGGCATGGTCACTGCCCTGCGACCTTTCCCCTGCCCGCCCCTTCCCTCACTGCCCCGTGCCCTTCTCTCTTAGGAAGGTGATGATGATGACCTGGATAGATGCAACTGAGGGAGACGAGGAAAGGATGACAAGCGTGACATCTGCGCGTCATCTTCTTTTGTGGTGTGACTGATGGTGTAATTTGCGGCTACTAGATGGCGTTGCAAATTGGTAGTGCGGTTTGCAATCACTAGATGGCGTTGCAAATTCGTTGTGCGGTTTGTAATCACTAGATGGCGTTGTAAATTGGTAGTGCGGTTTGTAATCACTAGATGGCGTTGCAAAGAATCTGCATTGCAGATTGGTAGTGCGGTTTGCAATCACTAGATGGCGTTGCACATTGGTAGTGCGGTTTGCAATCACTAGATGGCGTTGCAAATTGGTAGTGCAGTTTGCAATCACTAGATGGCGTTGCATATTGGTAGTGCCGTTTGCAATCACTAGATGGCATTGGTAGTGCGCAGTTTGCAATCGCTAGATGGCGTTGCACATTGGTAGCGGTTTGTAATCACTAGATGGGAAGTGCAGTTTGCAATCACTAGATGGCATTGCAGATTGGTAGTGCGGTTTGCAATCACTAGATGGCGTTGCACATTGGTAGTGCGGTTTGCAATCACTAGATGGCGTTGCACATTGGTAGTGCAGTTTGCAATCATGGCGTTGCATATTGGTAGTGCGGTTTGCAATCACTAGATGGCATTGCAGATTGGTAGTGCGGTTTGCAATCGCTAGATGGCGTTGCACATTGGTAGTGCGGTTTGCAATCACTAGATGGCGTTGCACATTGGTAGTGCAGTTTGCAATCAATAGATGGCGTTGCACTTTGATAGTGCGGTTTGCAATCACTAGATGGCGTTGCACATTGGTAGTGCAGTTTGCAATCACTAGATGGCGTTGCATATTGGTAGTGCGTTTGCAATCACTAGATGCATTGCAATTGGTAGTGCGGTTTGCAACTAGATGGAGTGCAATCACTAGCACAGTGTTTGTAGAGTTGATTGCAATCACTAGATGGCGTTGCACATTGGTAGTGCTTGCAATCACTAGATGGGCACATTGTAGTGCGGTAGAGCAATCTAGAATGCAAATTGGTAGTGCGGTTTGTAGATGGCGTGCATTGGAGGCTCATTATCATTTTGATCTTGAAAAAAACTGTAGAATTTGCGCACTTCCTTAGACAAAAAAAAAAAAAAAAAAAAAAAAAAGGAAAAGAAGAAATAATAGAGGAACCCGTATCCACGAAAGTTGTCAGACAATTCTGAGACAAAAATTCAGAAGTCTCGGAAAAAATAGGTCGGTCCATTGTTTACATCGTTGATCTACGCTTATTTAGTAATTACATACACATTAATACATAAAAAATGTTTGAGAACATGTGTTTTCTTCGACGAAATACTTTATTGTGCTGGCACAACACACACAAATGAATCATTACACAAGAAAACTAAAAACCAAAACAAATATCGATGAAAATGAGAAGATGACCATGGCTGTGATATCGCTGTATGCGGAAAATTGTAAAGACCAAGGAAT